ATTTGGTTTTCTGGATCCGGTTTAAGTTCTTGTCCGTACGGTTCGCTTATTGTTTGTGTCTCTTCTCTGTTTGATTGAAAGCTTTAAACTTTGGATCTTAGATTTTGAATAGCTTTCATAAATGGAGTTGCTTTCTTGGTTCTGATAATCCAAGTTTTAACTTTTTTTTGTTGATAGCTATTGAGTTTGAAGAGATAATGAGATGTCAAATTTTAGAATTGAGATTATGACACTTGTGATGAACATTTTGGATTCCTTTGATCAGTCCCCAGAAAGTAGGATTCTTCTCTCCAACTTTTTAGTGTTGGGTAAAATTTGTCATACTCTGCCTTTATTTGGAGACGTGGGAGGAATCTCTTCTTTATCATAATTCAAAAAAGGATTGAAAAATTGATTTAAATAAAAAGACTTTATGATTATAAATTCTTCTTCCTTTAAAAGACTTTCTTTTAGAGAAAACAAAAAAGAAGTTTGTGTTTGCTCCCCTTGCATTCTCTGCCTCTCTTCGTGAAATTGAATGAGTTCTTTGGTTCTTTCAAGTGGGACCATAGATGCGTGTATTAGTTTTCTTATTTTGACAGAGATTTTAACAAGTCGTTACTCTTGTGACCATACCTAACTATATCTACATGTTTTCCTCATTAGTGTTCTACATAGTTGTTAATTTCCTTTTCTTTTGATTCTGATTCTAGATTCACACATCGTGACTTGGAACCTGATTCTTGCATCTGCTTCTTTCTCCACGGAGTCTAGTAGCTGAGCACATTATATATTCATGTTTTGTTGAGAATAGCATTCTCCTTTGAAGCTGTGAGAACGCCTTTTTCTCCAAGCGTTTGTGTTTTAGCTTCTCCGGAGAGATTTATTACATGTCTGCCCCTGAAGTGGGAGTACCACCAGTTTCTCCTTTCACAGAAAGAACCAAATCCGTTGATGCACTCACCAAGAAAGAGATCTTGTCCGTTCTAACCAATGGAGAGCCCTCCGAACCTTCCGAGGACGCTAGGTTCAGAAACAAGGAGCTCTTTCTCCCCAACGGCGAATCCTACGACGGTACTTTACTTGGTAACGTCCCAGAAGGCTCAGGGAAGTACATATGGTCAGACGGGTCCGTTTACGTCGGTGAATGGAGACGTGGGATGAGACACGGCAATGGGAAAATGAGATGGGCTTCTGGTGCTTGCTACGAAGGTGAATTCTCAGGAGGTTACATGCACGGTACAGGGACTTACACGGATGCCAACAAGTTAACTTATAAAGGAAGGTGGAGGCTTAATCTTAAACATGGACTTGGGTATCAAGTTTACCCTAATGGAGACGTCTTTGAAGGCTCTTGGATTCAGGGTTTTGGAGAAGGACCAGGGAAGTATACTTGGGCTAATGGGAATATCTATCTTGGAGATATGAAAGGTGGGAAGATGTCTGGTAAAGGGACGTTGACTTGGATCACCGGAGACTCTTATGAAGGGAGTTGGTTGAATGGTATGATGCATGGTTTTGGTGTTTATACTTGGAGTGATGGTGGTTGCTATGTTGGGACGTGGACACGTGGTTTGAAAGATGGTAAAGGCTCGTTTTATTCAGCAGGGACTAGAGTGCCTGCAGTGCAAGAGGTTTACTTAAACGCTCTTAGGAAAAGAGGTGTTTTACCTGATCTGAGGAGGCAGAACCAAGTTGCTGCTTCTTCGGTTAATATGGAGAGTCTTAGAGTTGGTGGTAACAAGCTCTCGAAAGGGAGGTTGATAAACTTGGAGCAGTCACGCAACGGGAGGGTTTCTTTGGAGAGGCGTTGGAGTCTTGAAGTGTCTATTGAGAAAGTGATTGGACATGATTACTCGGATTTGTCTGAGGCGGGGTTGGATAGTGATCAGTATAATGTGGATAGACCGATCTTGGAGAGGGAGTATATGCAAGGTGTTTTGATTAGTGAGCTTGTGGTGAACAACAGGTTTTCACCAACTTCGAAAAGAGCGAAAAGGAAACATAAAAGGCTTTTTAAAGAAGCTAAGAAGCCTGGGGAGGTTGTTATCAAAGGTCACAGGAGTTATGATCTGATGCTCAGTTTGCAGCTTGGAATCAGGTATATGCTTGCTCCTCCTAATCATGTGCTCTAGGGCTGGGATTTTGAACTGAACCCGCCAAACCGAACTTAAATTTTTGGTTAGTTCGGTTTGATTCGGTAGGTTTTTTAAATGTTCGGTTTTCGGTTCGGCAGTTAGTTACTTCCTTTGTTTAAAAAATAACCAAACCAAATCGTACCAAATAAACCAAACCTAATTAACCGGATTTGAAACCATTATAACCAAATTAACCGAATTTAAACGAAATTAACCGAATTTATCTGAATTTTAAGCAAAATTAAACTAAAATATAATGAAATCAAAAACTTCTGTAGTAGTTGAACCGAACTGAATTTCATTTCAAGTTAATTCGGTAAGATTTATGTTGAGCCGAAATAACCGAAAACCAAATTACTGAACCGAAAACCAAAAACTTCTGTAGTAGTTGAACCGAACCAAATTTTATTTCAGATTAATTCGGTAAGATTTATGTTGAGCCGAAATAACCGAAAACCAAATTACTGAACCAAATTAACTGAACTACCCAAACCTGCGTGCTTACTGTGTCCTGTGAGATAAGCTTAGTTCTAAATACTGACCTGGTTCAAACGTTAGATACACAGTGGGGAAGATAACGCCCATACAAAGGAGAGAAGTAAGGACAGCAGACTTTGGACCTAAGGCTAGCTTTTGGATGAGTTTTCCTCGAGCTGGCTCCGCCATGACGCCTCCTCACCACTCTGAAGATTTCAAATGGAAGGACTATTGCCCTATGGTATTCAGGTTAGTATTTGCGCAAAAAATCTTTCTTCTACTAGTTGTCTCGTTGGTGTTTACATTCATTTTAAACCCTTCTAGGAACCTGAGGGAGATGTTCAAGATGGATGCAGCTGATTACATGATGTCCATTTGTGGAAATGATACCTTAAGGGAACTATCTTCACCAGGGAAGAGTGGGAGTGTCTTCTTCTTGTCTCAGGATGATCGGTTCATGATTAAAACACTCAGGAAATCTGAAGTCAAGGTTTGTGACCTCTTTTGTAGTTGTGTAGACTCTGTTCTACTGGCCTAATCTATGGAGTGTAATCAAATACTCATGTGTAGGTTCTCCTGAGGATGCTTCCATATTACCATCATCATGTGAAGACGTATGAGAACACTCTCATTACCAAATTCTTTGGCCTTCACAGAATCAAACCATCAAGTGGACAAAAGGTCTTGATGCAATGAGTCATATCTTTTTGTGATTTTCATTTGTACTATCATTAATACTAACTTTAAATATCTCTCATGCATGGCAGTTCCGCTTTGTGGTGATGGGTAACATGTTCTTTACAGATCTAAGAATCCACCGGAGATTTGACCTTAAAGGTTCGAAGTTGGGACGGTCTGCAGACAAAGTGGAGATAGACGAGAACACAATACTTAAAGATTTGGATCTCAACTACAGCTTCTTCTTGGAACCTTCTTGGCGGGAGGGTTTACTAAAGTATTACTATCTCTCTCAAGACTAATATGCATTTGTCAAATTCATGTTTTTAAACTTCTTCCCTTGCTGTTGTTAAAACAGGCAACTAGAGATCGATAGCAAGTTCTTGGTAGAACAGAACATAATGGATTACAGTCTTTTGCTCGGTGTGCATCATCGAGCTCCAGAGCACTTAAGGTCCCAGCTGGTCCGTTCTCGAAGTAGTTTAACAACTGATGCCTTAGAAAGTGTAGCTGAAGATGGTGAGCTTCTATAACATACTTGTTAAGCTTATGATTATTACAGAATCTCCTTCTAATGATGATGATTATGATGAAATAGATACAATCGAGGATGACATGTTATCTTACCACCAGGGATTGGTTCTTGTTCCTGGTGGGAGTGATAGTGTTGTAACTGGTCCTCACATCAGAGGCAGTAGATTACGAGCATCCGCTGTGGGAGATGAAGAAGTTGATCTCCTTCTTCCTGGAACAGCCAGGTAACTAATCTAACTAACTCTCAACTCATTGGCACATGAGAACATTGGTCCTAAGAAACTATTGAAACGGCAGGTTGCAGATACAGCAAGGAGTGAACATGCCGGCAAGAGCAGAGCTGATACCAGGAAGAGAAGAGAAAGATAGACAAATCTTACATGATTGCTGCGACGTGGTGCTTTATCTAGGCATTATAGACATATTACAAGAGTACAACATGACCAAGAAGATCGAGCATGCTTACAAGTCTCTTCATTTCGATTCTAAATCAATCTCAGCCGTTGATCCTACTTACTACTCTCAACGTTTTCTTGACTTCATTGAGAAAGTGTTTCCTCAGAACAACGCATAAACAGAGAAAAAGAGTACAGTTTTTATGTTTTTGTAAGTATACTGTAAAACAGACCTTAAGAGAGGGAAGGTTAAGTAAGGAAACAGATTTTCTTTTTTTTTTTGTTTTCTTTCTCAAACCGCAAAACGTAATCACAACCGTTACCAAACGCAAGAAACTGTGACCAAGGACAGGGAAAGACACGTGGAAACATGACGGACTTTGGAAGAAAAGTTGAAACAGAAACAGAGATACGTGTCGTGAAGCAAAATGTCGGATAAATTGACGTTTTCTTTGCATTTTTTGTTTTGTTTTGCTCCGTAAAGAATAAAAGTTTCTTGCTTTCTTAATATGTATGAATCATTTGATTAAAAGTTTTCTCCTTTTTACGGTTCATTCTTAAGAGAAGTAGAGAGAGATGTTGCTATAAACAAGAAGCATCTCTTCATTAGTCAAAAATTTTAGTTTTTTTTTGTTTGTTTGTGAAGTAGTAGGGCTTGGTCTGATTTGATTTGATCTCTCCTGAGTTTTTGTCGGTTGGGTTATTGTTATATCTGAACAGTATCAGATCGACAAAAGAGAAAACAAAAAGAAAAAAAAAACAAAAGGAGAGTTTTAGAGTGAGATCATTGTAGAAAAAAATGGGATCTTCATCAGGACAAAGTGGATATGATCTGTCTTTCAAGATCTTGTTGATAGGAGATTCTGGTGTTGGTAAAAGTAGCTTGCTTCTCAGTTTCATTTCCAGCTCTGTCCAAGATCTTGCTCCCACCATAGGTATTTTACTTAAACTTTCTGTTTTATACCTAAGGAAAATGAGCTGAAAGTAGTATTGTTTTGTTGTTGAGATCTTTTTTTTGTCTGAAGATGGTACTTAGCTGGAATCTTGTCTGGTCAAACTTTGAAGTCAACTGAAACTGAGACTTGCAGCTTTCTTTTTTTTGGATTATATGTTTGACTCTCTCTGGTGAAAATGATTTGAGCAAAATATAATTTCTTAAGTTAGTCACTGAGACTTGAAGCTAAGTTACTTCTTTAGGCTTACATACGTGGGAGTGAAGCTCATGAATCTCTCAAAGCTTAGTGACATTATTGGTTTTGTTTCCTCTTACTTTTAATCCACATTTGATCAGAAACTTGCGTGGTTGAGACATGTGTCTGTTTGGCATTGGTCTATTAGAATCTCATAGAAATTTTGTGAGAGCGAGCATTGGTAGCTTTTCTTGTTTCCTATCCCTCTGGACTCTGGCATTGGTCTAATTTGTCTGCTCTGATCTGTATAACATTCTAGGTGTTGATTTCAAGATTAAACAGCTGAAAGTAAGAGGGAAAAGAGTAAAGCTTACAATCTGGGACACAGGTAAGCTATAGATCTTACCAGTATGTGATATTTGAAAGTGTAGTTAGTTACCACCAAAAACTCATGGCCAATGTGGTTTGTTGCTGTGTAGCTGGACAAGAAAAGTTCAGAACATTGACTAGTTCTTATTTCAGAGGCTCCCAAGGAATCATTCTCGGTAACAGTATGATCATAGAACCGTCTGGTAGCTCTTTTGGTAGATTCCTCTAATATTTTCTTGGTGATGGATGCAGTTTATGATGTGACGAAAAGAGAGACGTTTCTGAACTTAGCAGATGTTTGGGCCAAAGAGATTGAGCTCTACTCGACTAACCATGACTGCATTAAGATGCTCGTTGGCAACAAAGTCGACATAGTGAGTAGTACTATTAACACTTACTCGTAATCAAGTCAACTTAAACTCGGTTTTCACCTTATAGTTCTGGTTACAGGAATCTGAGAGGAGGGTAAGCCGAGAAGAAGGAACGGCTCTAGCGAAAGAACTCAAGTTTTTGTTTCATGAATGTAGCGCAAGAACCCGAGAAAACGTTAAGCAATGCTTTGAAGAGCTTGCTCTCAAGGTAATAACAATCAAATCTTGATAATCCCACTCTTATACTGGTCAGAAAGTGAATCAGGTGCAAAATGAAACAGATAATGGAGGTACCTAGTCTTTTGCAAGAAGGATCAAGCTCTCTGAAGAGAAAACCGGATTTAAGAACTCATCAAAGCCGGTGCTGCTCATGAAGCTGTTTGATTGAACCTGCCTAGGCTCTTTTGTGTGTAAATTTATCAAGAAGATGAATCTTGCCTTCTTTGTAAATCTCTCAGTTCCTTAGATTGTTCTTTTTTTGCCTCAACTGATATTGTGTAATAAGTTAATAACCTCACTATACAGAAGAAAGGAAAGCAAGAACATTGTGTTCTTATATTTACTTTTGGTCTCACACTCTGGATTTGATCAGAATAGCTTACACAAACCACAACACCTGCATTGCATTAACTCAAAGGTTTTTGAACACTTAAAACATTGTCTACCATTTATAGTGTAAGACAATGGAGATAGCAACATAGACATAAGATCACAAACATTGTCTACCATTGATCTCTGAATGACACGACAATAGACTAGAAACTGGTCCATAGAACTTCTAAACATAACTGCAGCAAGCTGATTTCTCAGTTGAAGAAGACGATGAGGCTTTGTTAGCATCTTGTTTTGTGATCTTGAGCCCTTGTGGCTGCAAACGCAACAAAGACAGTAAACATTTCAGTTTCATATAATTCTAACACAGAGTAAGTAGTATTATGTGCTTCTTTACCTCTGCTTTTGTATCACTTTCTGTGAGTCTTTGTTTGATGTCTTTAGCGATAGACAGAAAAACCTGCTCGACATTCAGATTTGTTTTTGCACTCTGCAACAGTTTCCAAACACATAGGTTCAGATAAAATGAAAAAAATGAACGAGTAGAAAAACATGTTCTATTCTTTCCTGCTCACCGTCTCAAAGAACTTGATTCCATACTCATCAGCCAGAGCTTGTCCCTTTGATGTTGGAATAGCCTGTGGAAGAAGATGCACCATTAATATACTATTTGTGAAGAGAGTAGACAGAACACAAACTTACCCTTTTGCTTTCGTCCATATCAGCTTTGTTACCAACCAATATTTTATTGACACTATCTGAAGCATGTTGCTCAATATTCTTCATCCAGTTCCTAATGTCTGGAGAAATAATTTGTGTTAGTTCCCACAAGTGTATTTACAATATTGTTCCTTCACACAAAGAGTACTCAGAGACATACTATTGAAAGATGACTCATCTGTTACATCATACACGAGTAATATACCCATTGCTCCTCTGTAATATGCTGCAAGAGAAAAATGGACCAAAATAAATGAGAAATGAACAAGTAAAATTTATCTTCTAAGAGTATAGCATTGAGAAATCATCTACAAAAAAAAAATAGATTCATACAAACTAAGCATAAACCAGTTGTTACCAGTAGTTATAGTTCGAAAACGTTCTTGTCCAGCGGTGTCCCATATCTGCAGTTTGATACGCTTCCCATCAAGTTCGACTGTTCTTATCTTGAAATCAATTCTGGAGAAAATAAAAATAGTATATACACAAAAAGGTTTTCAACAATCAAAACACACTAGAAAAGAGCTTAAATGAAGAAAGACAAACCCAATGGTTGTAATGAAACTTGTAGTGAAAGTATCATCAGAGAAACGCAGCAACAAGCAACTTTTTCCCACACCTGCGTTTACACACCCATTTCCAACTCTTTATTAGTACGAGACCTTTTGAAAAAAAAACCAAAAATAAATCTATGCGGGTTTTGCTCTTAAGTCTAAAGTGGACTATATCGTATTAATCAGATAAACAACATACACATACATAAGCAAGGGAATCAAAATTAAACACCAAAACTATAAAGAGACATAGAAAATGATAAAGTCTAAACCCTTATATACACTACTTCCAATCCATCATCAAGTTATATGAAGAAGAGAGTTACCGCTATCGCCGATGAGGAGGAGCTTGATGAGGTAATCGTAGTCTGAACGAGCTCTTGCCGGCGCTACTGCCATCGGAGAAGTTACTTGATGTAAAACTAAGCTCTGCTGGTTTTCCCTGGAGAAAGAACTTTTTTCCTGGAGACAAAAGCCAAAAGGAGAAAGCAAAAGCAGTGAGAGAGATTGATTCTCTGACTTCAAGTGCTGTTGTTGCTATGATGAATCGAAGCTTCCTCATTGGTTGGTTCGTATTTTTATTTTTATTGCTTGGAGTCTTTATTGCTGAATGCTTCACACTTTAACCCACTAACTTATTAATTCGTTCAATTTTTTTTTTTTTTTTGACATCTTCAATTTTGTTCTTTAAACATTTTGGAAAGAGACTCAACTTCAAATGTGAAATTTTTGACTCTCCAACAAAATACTCTAAACTTCAAATATCTCTCCAGCAAAAACCTCTAAACTTCAAATATAAAATTTTTGTGAAGTTTTTGATTCTTCGACAAAAAATTCTAAAACTTCAAATTTGAAATTTTGAGTAGTGATATTTCAAATATAAAATATCACTATTCAAAACTTCAAATTTAAAGTTTCAGGTCCTCACAATTACGTATTATATTTATAGTTCTTAAATATTTTGTTGTTTACTTAATCTTTAGAAATTCTTTTCACATAAATATTTTAAAATTATTTTATAAATTTAAATTTTACATATAATTGTTTTTGAAAAACATTAAGATAAACTTTAAAAATTCTTTTCTCATAATATTTTAAAATTATTTTACAAATTTAAATTATACATATAATTGTTTTTGAAAAACATTAAGATAAACTTTAAAAATTCTTTTCTCATAATTTTTTAAAATTATTTTATAAATTTAAATTTTACATATAATTGTTTTTGAAAAACATTAAGATAAACTTTAAAATATTTTAAAACTATTACAAGATTAATGTGTTTTTTTTATAGTTTAATATTTAATTATATATTTTTATATATAACTTCATATGCTTTTTTTAAACACAAGCATATAACTTTATATGCTAGTGTATACATTTTATTAATTAATATTTCTGTAATAAATTTATAGAATTTTGGAAACTGTAAAATAGATTTTTTTTTTTTTGGAGATTGTTAATGAATATGAATGTTGATGAGTTGATGTATGTGCGCACAAAAAAAAATGTTGATGTATAAAAAGATCTCATGCTCTTATGAAATGTGAAATTAACGCTTCAAACTAATTTTAGATCGTTGAATTTAAACGAAGTATGCATGAGAGCCATGATTTAGTTACACCTGGTGTGTATAAATTAGAATTGGATATTTATCAGTTAAATTTGATTCGATTCACTATCTATTTCGATTCGTTTTGAAAATTTCGGATATCCGTAAATTTTTGAAGCAAAGTAAATACAAAAAATCAATATTCATTTAAATCGAAGCAAATCACATATATTAAAATTTTAGGAAGCATATATCCGCTCCGAGCCGATAATATATAAATACATATATATATCTTGTTAATATTTAAAATTTTAAATGTATAAAATTATATAATTATTATTCTAGCATATGATTTGACAAATTCTATTCAGTCATTACTTATATAAAAGTATTACATAAAAAAAAGAGAAAAAACTTATGGCAATTATAATTTTTTCTTCAAATTTTGTGTTATAATAATTGTTAAGTAAGTTTAAATTTTTACAAAATATGTAGATCCCTTACTTCTTTTAATTTTCATTTTATATATAATACGGAACAATAGTTTACAAAACAAATTTGTATCAAAATTTTAAAATTATTTGTATTAATCAAGACAAATAAGATATCTGAAAATATTCATAAATATTCGTAAATATCTATTTATTTTTTGAACATCCGTTTTTCCAGATATCCGTATTTTTTCCAAAGCAAATCAAATCGAAAAATCAGATATCCATAACATACGAAACAAATCACAAATACCTTCAAAAACCCGGATATCTAATACGTGCTCAGCCCTAATATAAACGATTGCTTTGCTGCATATAAATTAAAGGCTTAACGAGATCTCATTCAAATTTATTAATCTGACACCAATTTCATAACTGAAACCGACATGATGTTCATAACTCATAGGTATAAATAAGATTATAATCCAATAGAAACAAGTCTATAATAAGAAAAAGCATAAAACTGGCACAAGAATTTTGCAGATTGCAAAATCACTTAAGAGATTCTTGAGTTGGCAACCGCTGCTTCGAGGATCCTCCTAGCATCACTGTTTATTTCAGCTAAATCACCTGGTGTCTGCACAATCACAACCTTGCTAATCACTAATCAAAATAGTTGGAAAGCTAAAAGTGAAGAACAAAATGTTCTCAAACGTTACCTCCATGGAGAAGTTTTTAATCGATGGTGAAGCCCCTGAACTTAGCAAAAACCTAATCACATTTACATGCTCACCGCTCGCTGCACAATGCAGAGGCTGTGAACAAAGACCACACACTTTGTCATTAATCATAGTTTAGAGAGATGGAGAGAGAGAGAGAGAAGAAATGAGTCATTTTTGAAGATGGAGAATACTTACAGTGTTACCTGCTCTATCCATTGTTTCAATCATTCTCTTCGCACATTCAGGACTACTAGCTCGGCTTAAAAGAAATTCTACTATATCTAAGTACCCTGCTCGCCCCGAAGTTCAACAACAACAACAACCAAAAAAAAAAAACAATAAGGTATAGACCGTGAGAAAGAAATATTATACTAGGTAGGGGTCATGACCAACTCTACCTCCATCACAAGCATCATGTAAAGGAAGTGCATCATCTGTATCTTTAATCTCAATATTAGCTCCTCTTTCTAGGAGAAGCTGCAGTAAATAATTAAATAAGTAGTGTAAAAATACATCAGCTATAAAAAGTTGGGTAGAAAAATGAAAAAGCAGGGAACAACAATAGTAAACCTCAACACAAGGGAGGTGACCATATAGACACGCCAAGTGAAGTGCCGAGTCATTATTCTCAAGTGGCTCATCAATTAGCCCACCGAAATTGTCTATCAAAATTATTCAAAAAAAGATAGATATTAGTAAAATCTCCATCACAGCCTCAAGAAAACAAACCACTCAAAATACACAAGAAGTACCAATGGCAGTGTCCAAAGCGACGACGTCACCGGACTTAACTGCAGCGGCCATGTCATGGAAAACCCATTCGTGATCGCTTTCGTAGTCAATAGTGCTATGGTCGGAAAGAGCGTCAACATCGTCCCCTGGAACCGCCATTCTCACAGTCAACCTCTCTTCTGCTTTCTCTTCACTGCTGTGTAGTGATTTTCTTTTTAACAAGTAACTGTTGCAGTTTACTTTGGTTTGGTCGTTTATATATAGTCCATATAAAAAATTTGGTCAACCAGTTTGCAAATCCATGGCAGTATAAAGTCATGTTTTTCAAGGCTACATTTGTATAGAAAATCTACCTTTCTGTTTTTTTGCCAACCCAATAGAATACTATTTCATTCACTATATTTTCTTCTAAAATAGAATCGTTCTATTATAGAATGATCGGACTTGTCCTGATAATATTATTCTACAGTAAAATATTTTATTTTATTTTAGAATAAAATAATAACATTCCTTTTTTTCGTTTGAAAATATTCATTCATGATGAAATATTTAGAGTTTGTTACAAAAACTAACTTAAAATCTCCGTAAACTAAAGCCCAAAAACAACTTAAACTCATAGAATCGTTCTATTATAGAATGATCGGACTTGTCCTGATAATATTATTCTAAAACAAAATATTTTATTTTATTTTAGAATAAAATAATAACATTCCTTTTTTCGTTTGAAAATATTCATTCATGATGAAATATTTAGAGTTTGTTACAAAAACTAACTTAAAATATCCATAAATTAAAGCCCAAAAACAACTTAAACTCATAACGATACAATTTTATCTCTGTAAACTAAAGTCCAAAGACAACTTAAACCCATAACGATACAATTTTAACCCACACTAGAATAACTTTATATAGATCAATTTTCCGGTTGTGGTTGGGACTGGAAGGATAGCATGGGAAATAGTCAACTGATGGGAATGTGTAATGTGAGTAGAGTGGAGTCGGCTTTGCATTCTGAGCTGAAAGCACTGTGGTGGGCAATGGAGAACATGCTTCAACATTCACCATGTCAGAGCTTTGGTACGGACTGCAAGGAATTGTTAGCAATGCTCAAGGATCACCATGGATGGCCAAGCTTCTCGATGGAACTGGAGAGGATCTAGACGCTGAGGATTTGTTTCGCAGACTTTAAGATCTCTTATGTACCTCGATCTCTAAATGATGTGTCTGATCATTTAGCTAAGACTGCCCGATCCTTTTATCGTGATTTTATGTATGTTGGTTGTTCTATTCGGTTTAGATTTCCAGAACACCTCAAGCTTGAGTAATAGATCAGCCGTTCGTTGTAAAAAAAAGAATAACTTTAGTCCACACCAAAGCAACTTAGTAAAACAAATGATAGAAACTAAACCACTATAAAACTCAAACATACTATTAATAACTACATTGGAACATTAAACATAACAATTTAGCATACTTTAAAATTAAGCAAAGGCCGATGATTGTAAAAATATCGTAGCTGCCCACAATCTGCCACACGAAAAGATCCACTTCTTACAACCACACTGTGATTTACCGCTGCTACCTACGCCCGCCAAACAATAATGTCCAATAACCAAGAACATGAGAGTTCATAACCCGAAAAGAGGACCACTACCCAGTCTATACAATCTTTGGATACAATGTGACACACTCATATACATCCACTTAAACTTAGAGAGAAATCTAATAAAATCTCCACAAAAACGAAGCATTGTCAATCGAAACACTCCAGATACACTCCCGGAAAAGAACCTCATGGCGAACAATCACTACACCCATAAACTCTAGAGAAAATCTGTTAGTCAGCCTCCATACATAGCGACAACGAAACTTTAAAATGAGCGGGCACAAAGGAGATGCAACTCCACCACACATGCTAATTCTGGAACCAAACCTAAAATAATAACATTCCTTTAAATTCTAGTTTATAAAAAAAATCCTAATATACAGTAATATCATTAGAATAAATCCAACTCTATAATAGATTTACCTTATTTTAGAGAAAATATAGATAAGATTATAGTGGTCTTAAACTGTATTTTTAGTTAAATATTTTTTTTTGTCAACTTGTGCTTGTTTTACTCTAAGTCTGATGGGGTATTGAATTTAAAATTTAATTGAATTCAAACGAATCAAACTTTCTATTAAATTTATGTGTTATCTAATCATGGATTTCACCCATTTTTAAAATTCATATGCTATTAGATTTATTAATTTTCCAATTCCAATAATTATTTGTGTTATTCAATTTTTGATAGATTGTATGTAATAATATTTGAATAGAGTTTAAAAGGAGTTTCTTAAAAAATGTAAAGAACCAATTCTCTATCTTTAGATTATGATTTGAAAAAGATTCTTTATATTTTTTATCTATGAAATATACATGTCAAAATTATTGATCATTCTAATATGAAAGATTTGAATACATAATTTTCACTATAAATTTAAAAATATTTTACTATCTTGAAAATATGCTATATCATATTTTATGTCTTCATGGAACCTTCTTCTTCCTAAATAGCTACATATTCACATAGTGATACATGATTAGTTCGACTATTACTATTTTTTCACAAGTCAATTTTTTATTGAATTTTTTTAAATGATTTTATTTTTTTATCTAAAAGAAAAATGATTAAAGTTTTTGTTTTTCAAATTTTTATAAATTTTCCCTTCATGTAAAAAGATTAGTTCATAGAATTTAGGGTAATACGATCAATTTTATTTGCATTCTTTTAAAATCCAAAACATAAGAATTAGACATAAGTATATAGTAGTTTTGTTTCGCGCAAAAACTAATCTAGATTACGGTTTGTAATTAAAGTACTAATAAGTAATTATTAAAAAAAAATACTTTTTGTAAGTGCTGTATCCAATTTGATTCGAGTCCTTTTCCTCTTTAGCCATCATCATCCTCTCTCTCTCTCTCTACCCTCTTCTATCTCTCTCTCCTTCCTTATTTGATCGCCGGTAAATCACAGCCGTCCGATTAACCACTCGCGACAAGATCTTTTGATTAGATCTCCGACAACACTCCGGTAACTATCTCTAACTCTTGTTTCCATTTCCGTGGATTGGGAGAAAAAAAAATGAGATAGCTTGATCCAACCCAGTCATAGTGGAATAAGAAGAAGAAGAAGCTCTCTTTGAAAAAAAATCTCAATTTGATTATTTTAGGGTTTTTGATTGCATGCTGATCCCAATTCGAATCCGCTAGGGTTTTCTTAGTTAGTTGGAGAGTTTTCAAAGTTAGTTCCTTTTTAGTTTCTAGTCATGTTTAAGAAAATCATGAAAGGTGGGCACAAAAAGCCCTCTAAATCCGAAGCCAACGAACCTTCAAGTTACAATCTTGGTGGCTCCAATGTTGTCGTTAGTCACGCTTCTCGTGGCGGCGGTGCACTGGTTCCTTCTTCTCCAGTGACTGCCACGTCACCACCACCACCACCTATAACCTCAGTAACCCCACTGCCTTTGTTCAGAGACGTTCCTGTTTCAGAGAGGCAAGCTTTGTTCTTGAGGAAGCTTCAGAACTGCTGTTTCCGGTTTGATTTCAGTGATACGGTTAAGGACGCGAGAGAGAAGGAGATTAAGAGGCAGACGTTGCTGGAGCTTGTGGATTTTATACAGTCTGGAGCTAGTAAGATTGTCTCAGAGTCTTGTCAGGAGGAAATGATTAAGATGGTTTCTCTCAATCTGTTTCGGTGTCTCCCTCCTGGTTCTCAGGAGAATACGGGTCAGGAGCCTGCGGATCCCGAGGAGGAGGAGCCTTATTTGGAACCTTCTTGGCCTCATTTGCAGCTGGTTTACGAGTTGCTGCTGAGATACGTTGTTTCTACTGATACGGATACGAAAGTGGCGAAACGGTATATTGACCATTCCTTTGTGTTGAATTTGCTTGACTTGTTTGACTCTGAGGATCCGAGAGAGAGGGAGTATTTGAAGACGATTCTTCATAGAATCTACGGGAAGTTTATGGTCCACAGGCCGTTTATTAGGAAAGCAATCAACAATATTTTCTATAGGTTTATTTATGAGACAGAGAGACACAGTGGGATTGGGGAACTCTTGGAGATTCTAGGGAGTATCATTAACGGGTTTGCGTTGCCTATGAAGGAGGAGCACAAGCTGTTTCTCATCAGGGTGTTGATACCGTTGCATAAGCCGAAGCCAATAGCTATATATCATCAGCAGTTGTCTTATTGTATTGTTCAGTTTGTGGAAAAGGATTATAAGCTAGCGGATACTGTGATCAGGGGGTTGTTGAAGTATTGGCCTGTGACTAACTGCACTAAGGAGAATCTCTTCCTTGGGGAACTTGAAGAAGTTCTTGAGGCTACACAGCCTGTTGAGTTCCAGCGTTGTATGGTTCCATTGTTCCAACAGATTGCTCGCTGCCTCAATAGCTCTCACTTTCAGGTTAGTAATAGTGTTATGCATATATCACCTCAAAGCAGTATATTTTGCTTATTTAACTAATTATGTCTTGGAATAAATTTAGCATATTGAGGCAATGAATTTGAGATATTGTCTGCCAATGTCCTCTGTGCCTATCACTTTTCAACTCAACATTTTTTTAAATTTTTTTTAGAATTTTCACTTGGGTCTGATTCTTCTACCTGAAAAGAGTATGCAACTTAAGTGCTTCACAGAATTTATGTTGCAATTTTCTTTGTATTGCTTGCTTCCTTCTCCTTTCATTTCACAAAATGATCATGATAATGTTGTTTGTACTACACTCATTTGGTTGATGGGATTATCTCATGTCGTTGATAGATAATACTCTTGAAAATGATCCTTGGATACTTAGATCATGTTAATATACCTTGAAGCACACCGAGTCTTTGAATGCATCGATACTCTTGCGTTTGCTTTATCCACGAGTCATGCACAATTCCTTTTAATCAAAGAAATCCCAAAAACAAACAAGATATATGAGCATCTTTCTCTGTGTGGTTGATATCCATTTGTGTTTTAGACTGGAGCAGGTTTGATCGCATTGGTTCTAAGCACAAGTCTCTAATTAACTTCATTGGATGCTAGCAATTACACTTGTTTCCTGTTGTATATTTTGTGCAATCACTCAATTTTTACGTGGGTTTACCTTATACTTTAACGTTCATATCTCATAAAAATCCGATACAGGTTGCAGAACGAGCACTGTTCTTGTGGAACAACGAGCACATAGTAGGTCTCATCGCGCAGAACCGAAGCGTAATCCTTCCAATAATATACCCCGCACTGGAGAAGAACATCCAGTCTCACTGGAACCAAGCAGTTCATGGTCTAACCGCAAATATCAAGAAGATGTTCATGGAGATGGATCCTGAACTCTTTGAAGAATGTCAGAGACAGTATGAAGAGAAACAAGCCAAGTCCAAAGAAGTTGAAGAAAAACGCCAATTTACGTGGAAGAGATTAGCTGAAGCAGCAGCAGAGCGAGATGGAGTTGGAGGAGGAGAAGATTATATGATCACTTCCTAGATCGATAAAAAATGGTATTACTCACTTTTTTTTAAAATCGTTTACTATTAATATCTTTTTTTTTCCCAATGTATAAACTTTCGATTTGTTTTTTTTGTTGTGAGAATCATCGATTCTGATTCTGGTTGCTCAGAGAATAGTAAAGTGAAGTGAGCTAATCAACTATCAGAGAATATGTCTTTTGTCTGTACGGATCGGGCTTTAGTACTAAGAATGTATTTGTGATCTTCAACTTCTCTTTTTGTTATGGAAATTTGTGGAATTTTTTTATTATATAAAGCAGGCAAGGATATTCAATGTGAAGCATAACGAAGGGATTGGAAAATTAATAACTTAAAGTCTAAAACCCATTCATCTTTTGTTAAGAAGTTTCTCAGTAATCACATTATGTCTAAAAAAAGACAGTTCAATTATGTCTAGATTCTGAGGTTTCTTCTGACTTCCGGTTAATACTGTTCCACAATTGCTACAATTTTTTGCTTGTACAATGGTTTTTAAGCCTTTTCAAGGGAAATATTGATGTAAAATCTTAATTTATTAACCAAGCGGGGATAGCTCAGTTGGGAGAGCGTCAGACTGAAGATCTGAAGGTCGCGTGTTCGATCAACGCTCACCGCATTTTCGTGTTTTTTCCATTTGAAATTATGCTTAACTAATTCACTCCACGATGTCACAAGTTAATCCCTTCTTTTTTTTTACGTAACATCTTCTTGTTGTGTCACTCTGTTTATGGCATTGTCGTCTTTGTGCCTAACTAAAGCTGACCAAGCTAGCTAATTAACAGTAGTCAGAAGAAGAGAAGGTTTGTGGGTGGACCAGATAAGAGTGGTAGAGGAGGACTGGCTGTTTTAATTTACTTTGGAAGGTGTTTATAACTTATTTTCCTTGTTCCGTTTTCTTTTTTTGAAAATATTATCTTCCTTGCTGCTATTGGTTTCTCATTGATTTG